CCACACACACACACACACACATATACGTATGTACATATATATATATATAAACAAAAACTTAAGTCAGTAGTTTTAATTTTCAAATTTTTAAATGTTTTGAACGAATAAAGGAGCATGTTTATCCTGTAGTTATGCTGCAGGTGGAACTAAAACAGTACGCTGTTTGTTTTTGTTTCATTAGTATTCTTCCATTACAGTTTATTCTAAAAATAAAATTATTTATGAATTTTATAAGTTGTAAGAGATTTTATTTTGAAATAATATAAAACTACTTGTATAATTTTATCGCAAATAGATATTCTGCATGTCTATGTATAAATAAATATACGTACGTGTGGTATATATATAAAAAAACCTTGCGTTTTCTACTTTCTTATGTTTAGTACATTTTAAATTTATCAGTTATTTCTGGGAATGTGCAGTTTCCACATAACACCTGGTCAAGAACGTAGTGAAGTTTATTTCATTTTTAGACGCCTTTTTTTTTCCTTTACCGATGTCATACCTGCTCTACTCATGGACGGCTTGGCTGTAATGCTGCACGTTGTGCAAGAATGTAGACAGTTACGGCGACGGCTTGGCTGTAATGCTGCACGTTGTGCAAGAATGTAGACAGTTACGGCGACGGCTTGGCTGTAATGCTGCACGTTGTGCAAGAATGTAGACAGTTACGGCGACGGCTTGGCTGTAATGCTGCACGTTGTGCAAGAATGTAGACAGTTACGGCGACGGCTTGGCTGTAATGCTGCACGTTGTGCAAGAATGTAGACAGTTACGGCTTCACCTATGCTTGAATGAGAATGACAAGTAACGTAGGTAGCCCTCGCCACTTTGGGTAAAAGTTGGATAGAATAGCTTCAAGTTAGTACAAGTGACAGTCCATTATTCAAAGCAAGTACACATTCTGTGTTTGTGTCTTTGTATTATAATAATGATTGTACTTTTGTATTCAGTAACCTTATATCCAGTCTCTTTTATATGAACACAGGTATTCAAAAGTACCCAGAATTACTTCGTAAAAAATATCTTGTTGAACCTCCTGTTACTCATCGCACCTATTCTGTTGTTTTAAGCTGAACTCAGTTTTGGCTAAATACATCACATCACATCACACACAACATTAATGATCATATTTTTCACCATCAAAATTTTCAAATCTTCTGATTGAAACTGATACTTATAAGCGCATAAGTTAAAGCTTAAACAGACTAAAACAATTTCGATGTGAAAGTCAATGCCATTGAAAATTGTTTGAAGTTATAAAATGTTAGTGGTATAAACAGTTGATATATTTGGTGGAGGACGAAGTCTAATAATGAATAGTAGAGCAACGGCAACAGTTGTAAACATCTTTAATGAACGTTTTGGAATTACACATATTCTTTCTTTGGCAAATCTATGGAAATGACAAATTGAATAATCTTTAGAACAATTACTAATATAAAAATACAATGAATAGTTTACGGTATGATTGAATCATGACAAAGATGTTCAAAAATTTAACTCTAAACTATATAAAAAAAAAGAGTAATACTTTTGTGTTAATAGAGTAGGTAATGAAAATAAGATCTTAGCCTAATAATATTTATTAATGTGAAATTTTAAAACATAAATGCTTAATATAATAAACATAACTTACTTAGTATATTTTAATTCTAAAATAGCGTAATAAGAAAAATGTGGATTATATTAATAGTTTACATTCTCTCACATTTTTATTGAGGAAGAAAAGTTATGAGTGATAAAACTGGAAAGGTAATTTTGAGTTCAGTGTTAGTGGGTTAGTTTTTTATAATATTTATCAATGATGTCTATGAAAAGAAGAGCTGTCTATAGTTAATACAGAACATGGCCTAATGGGCGGTTTGCCAAACTGTGTATCTGAGAGTCTGTGGTTCGCATCCTGCTGTTCTGTAAAAACACAAACAAACTGCTGTATCCCATTTCGGGCTGTATGTGTGTTATAAAAGTGATGGTCAACTCCAACGAGTTGACGGTAGGTCTTGTTGACTAGATGCCTTCCCTAGACCCTGCTCTATAGAGGTATATCGTGTGTTTGATACCCTCTCGTTTTAATAACGATTTTCAAAATTATTCATTTGCAAGATAATCATGCTATGTATGAAGGTAGACAGTAACCTTTTCCGTTGGCAAGTCGGGTGATATCTAGAGCCTAAACCTGAAAACGAAAGGTGAAAGACTTTCTAAACGTCATCCTCTACACTTGTGTTTCTACAACAGGCAGTTGCCGTCCATTCAACTAAGTTTCATCATGAATACTCTGCCTAAACAATCTATCAAAGAACATAGAATGTTAAGTTGTAAACACACACAAAAACTGTTCAGGGTAATTTGACTCCCAATGATTTCACACCCCATTTCAAAAAAATTATCAACATTAAAAATTACATTTATTAAAGATTATAAGAAGTGATGCAAGTTATGAGCTATTGCTCGTAAAAAAAGCCAATCTTGTTATCTGGATTATATCTAGAAATAAGAACTTGCAGCCGTTTTTTCATATCTTTATTCTTTTTTTGTCGTTATTGTCACCCCGATCAAACTGAACTTACTTCAATTGTGTCAAGCATTCTTCTTTCTTTAAAGTTGAAATTAGTTTAAAATTTTTATTTATTTATATTAAGTTTATTACTATTACTACAATTACTATTTATTGTGTTGGGAGTGGATTATCCTACATCTGGCGGCTTCAGCTGGGTTTCAAATTACTGGGAATGAAATACCGGTCACCCACAAAAACATAGTTGACGGACTCGGTTTGGTTATTCGCGCAAACAAACTGGTTTCTGTTTAGTTCAAAATTACTTATCCACAGTCTCTCGATGTCAAGAAAAGATACATGGAAAAAAATTGTAGAGAGAAAAATTATTGAATATGTCTTATTACTGCTACTTGTCGTTTTCTTTGTGCAAAGCTACACAGTTAGCTGACTGCTATATGTCCAGCGAAGGGAGTCGAATCATGTGTTTTAGTATTGCGAGTCTGTAAAATTGCCGCTGACCCACCTGTGGACTGCTATTAGTAAAAAATCATCACTATAATACTTTTAATAATTTCAGACATATATTATTTTTATGCTTGTTATATCTGTTGGAGGCAAAAAAAAGTGTAATCCAAAGATCTGTTCACTGATACTGATTAGGAATTTGTGATCGGGGTTTGAAGTTTTGAAATATTAACTTATTTAAATATAGATGGCAGAAGAGTTGTGTGAGAAGTTGAGAACGATGGCGGCAAGCTCAGAAACAACAGAGATAAATGAACCAATGACGTTTAAATTGGTAGGTTTCGTAGATTAGGTAAGCTTATGAAAATTTAAAATCACTAAGAAGTAAAATTAAGTATTGATTTGAGATTATTTTTAACTTGTTTTAAAAATGTTAATGCTTATCTAAATTAAGTACTATTACTATAGTGTGGTAATAGTAATACTAATAGTGAAAATACTAAGTATTAGTTTAAGTAATATATCATACACTATAGAGTAGAGTGATACTGTCGCTGGCAATGTGATACTGATACTACTTATACTATTACTACTACTAGTAAAGTTGTAAATATATGGAAAGTCTGATTTTTAAATAAAAAACTTGTAATTGTATCACATTTATCTATAAATGTTTTACTGCTATGAATTATAATGTGATATTTATTGAATTATGTACTCAACTTGCATTGTTTAAAGCAAATTCTAAGATAGCAACCTTCACTTAAGTTTTTGATTTTCAGTCATTTTTTAGTTAACTATGAATACTGTTTACATGAACAATAGTCTACATAACTACTATAACACTGCATGCTTTTATAAATAGCATTAACTTGACTGTAAGCTCTATAAATAGTAGCAACTTTACTGTAAGCTCTATAAATAGCAGTGAAAGCCGCAAGGAAGCTGTCGCGCTGATGTCGC